TGCTACTTATTCTCCATATCTTCTCACCCCCTCTCCTCCTCCCGCTCCGCTGTTGCTAACCCTCCATGTGATCTCCATTTCTGTGGCTCCGCTCATGATCTAGCTGTCCTCTTAGTTTGCTTTTGTTTTAGGTGTGGTTCTTAATAACTGTGAGTTTGCTGTCCTTTCACTGTGCATATTTTTTATCTTCTTTTTCTTAGATAAGTTCCTTTAACGTTTCATATAATAAGGGCTTAATGATGATGAACTCCTTGAACTTGACCTTATCAGAGAAGCACTTTATCTGCCCTTCCATTCTAAATGAAAGCTTTGAGGGATAGAGCAATCTATTTGTAGGTCTTTGGATTTCATTACCTGGAATACTTCTTTCCAGCCCCTTCTTGCCTATAAGGTCTCTTTTGAGAAATCAGCTGACAGTCTGATGGGAAGTCCTTTGTAGGTGACTGTCCCCTTATCTCTTGCTGCTTCTAGAATTCTCTCTTTCATTTTAATCTTGGCCAGTATAATTATTATGTGCCCTGGTGCATTCCTTTTGGGTCCAACTTCTTTGGCACTCTCTGAGCTTTCTGGATTTCCTGAAAGTCTATTTTCTTTGCCAAATTGGGGAAGTTCTCCTTTATGATTTGTTCAAATAAGTTTTCCACTTGTTGATGTTCCTCTTCCCCTTCTGTTACCCCTATAATTCAGATGTTGGAATGCTTAAAGATGTTTTGTAGGTTCCTAAGTCTCTCCTCATTTTTTGAATTCTTGTTTCTTTATTCTTTTCCGTTTGGTCCACTTCATTGATTTGAGTCCTGGTTTTCTTCCCATCGCTATTGGTTCCCTGTGCATTTTCCTTCATTTCACTTAGTGTAGCCTTAGTTTTTTTCATCTAATTTGCGACCAAAATCAACCAGTTCTGTGAGCATCCTGATCACCAGTGTTTTGAACTGTGCATCCAATAGGTTGGCTATCTCTTGGTGGCTTAGAAGTACTGACACTGGGGCTTTGATGTGTTCTTCTGTTTGAGCCATAATGTTTTGGTCTGTTCACATCCCTTACGTATGAGGGGCGGAGGCTTATGTGTTCACCTGGGTGGGGCAACCCATGTTTCTGGGTTGTGACACTGTATGCGGGGGCAGGGTCAGAGAGGGAGCAATGGAGCTTGTTCTGCTCTCTCTGAAATTTCGGTCCCCTCTGTCACTTCCCCCAAGCAAACTGGGCCCTTCTGGTGCTGATTCCTGGGTGTGTGGGCTTGTGTATGTTCTAGGACCCTGTGGGTCTCTCCAGTGAACTGTCCTGTGAGGCTGGGAGCCTCTCCCATCACCTCAACCTCCACAAGTATTTTTTTCAACTGATGCTTTTAGGCTTTATTTCCCGTCACTGGGGCCCCGGGTTGTACAGTCTGTCTTACTGCCCATTTTTTGCCTGGTTTAGCTGCGCCCAAATGTGTGTCCAGGGTCAGCCAGCTGCCTTGCACGTCTCACTGGGTTTGCTCCATTCCTCCCCACACCCGGTTCTGCCAACCACCGCCTCTTCCTGCCGGGACCCCTCTCCACCGGCCGCCAACTCCTCCCCTCTTACTGGTCTGGATGAATAGTTTGTTATTGATGGACTTCCATACAGTTCAATTTTCTGTCTATTCTGGTTGTGTTTTTGTTTCTAAATCTTTGTTGTCCTTAAATGTGGTTGTGCGAGGAGGTACAGTATTTCCACTTACACCTCCATCTTGGCTGGAAGTTCTGCTTTTTCTCTTTTTAATCTATTTCCTTTTTCCCCGCTCTGTCCTAGTGAAGGCCATGGCATTACACTGGATTGAAACTACAATCAAGCCCCCTCCCAAGGACAAGTGGCCAGCTGTTTGACTTTCTGGGTGCAAGGGAAGCTATTTGGTGAGCCCTGTTCAATGGCCATCATTCCACAGGCCTTAGTGTGGGGAGGACCTGCTGTGAGCCCCCCCTGGAACCAAAGGCCGGCAAAGGTCAGGCTGGCCCACAGCACAAGCCTGGAAGCCAGTCAACAGAAACAGCTGCTCAGCACACAGTGCTAAAAGCCAGACAAAACAAGTCCCTGGGATGATGCAGAGCTGGCAGCCAAGAAGTTTTTGAGAGGAGAGTAGAGTCCCTCTATTTTACTCAAGGAACAAAATGAGGATCCTGCGGAAGGAAGTGAAAGGCTGTTGTCATCCCAAGGTGACAAGCAGTATGAGTACATGCTGCGCTGAGGTGAAACTGCCAACCCCTCCTTTCAGGACTTCTGGCATTCCTGAATAGATTTTTTAAATAACTGATGTGAAATTCACGACACATAGTACTGATCCCGTGGTACATTGATGGAGCGATCAGTGCCATCTAGTACGCTCACAAATGGTGCGCATCAGCATCCTATCCAGTTCCATAACATCACATTAGCATGAACTGCACCTTCCCGCCCATTAAGCAGTGATTCCCTGTTTCCTCCAGCCCCCGGCAACCACCACTCTGCTTTCTGTCCCTGCAGATTCATCTCTACAGGATGTTTCATATAAATGTAATCATGTAACTGGGGCCTTTTGTGGCTGGCTTCCTTTCATTTAGCATAATGTGTTCAGGGTTCATCTATTGTAACACACATATCAATACTTCATCCCTTTTTATCACTGAATAATGTTCCATGGTGTGGACATGATTTTTATTTATCTCTTCCTTCCTGATGGTGTCTAGGTTGTCCCACATTTCGTTCGCTACTGTGCATCGTGCTGCTGTGAACGTTTGTGTCCAAGCACACTCCTCAGTGTGCTTTCCGATCAGTTCGCACTGACACCGAGGAACCGAAGTGCTGAGTTGAATAGAAGAATTCTAGGGAGTGCTTCTGAGTGGCTTTTCTTTCTATGTACTGTTATTTTCATTTCCCTTCTCTTCCCTTCCCTTCCCTTCTCTTCCTTTTCTTTTGGCTCTGCACCCTCTGCAATGACACTACAACCCAGCTCAGTCCCAGGGGCAAGTGGTCACCCTGGTGATTATCTGGTTGAGAAAGAAGCTGTCAGGCAGGAATCACCCAATGAGCCGCCTTCAACAGCACTTTGTGCCCTGAAGTCCTGTGGAGTCCACACAGAAAGCCCCATACGTGGAAATCAGCTGTTACAGCTGCCGAGGATTTCTCACTGCTTTTTGTTTTCATAAACTTCACTTTTTCCCCTCCTCACACAAAGCAGAAACTCAAACAAACTCAGACATACAGGTGATAGGTGAGCATATTTAAAGTTGCCTCTGAACTTTTAAAACACATAAAGGGCCAACAAAGTAAGTCCGTGGGCAAAATGCACTACGTAGTTGAGTGGAAATCATTTACTTTTTTTTAAGTGAGAGAGAGTGCAGCCAGCTGTTTTGTGAGCAGAAAACCAAAGTGAGGCCCTGGGGAAGAAAACGAGAAATTTCTCAGAGAAGAGCACACCAGAGTGCTGTTGTGGTCACCTGCCTGAGCTTTGGACCCAGGACAGGAACACTGTGCCCTCAGGCCCTTGCTTCTGGGTGTGCCTGCCTCTGCAGGCTCCCTGCCCTGTGCGATTCTGCACAGTGCTGCTCAGGGAATGCTGTCCTATGACCTATCTGACAATAAAGGAGTTGGTTCTGGTCATTGATGGCTCCTGGAGACGCTACCCTGTAAGCCTCCCTCCAGGGAAGGAAAATTCCCCCAGGAATTCCCTCCAACTTTGCAGACAACCTGCCCCCCTCCCTTTGGGATTATTGCAGAAATTCTTGTCAGCCACTGTGGAGGGAGCAGGGATGGTTACAAACTCGCTGCTGCCAGGACTAACTGAGCCCCTGGGACACCCTGAGTTGGGACAGAGGAGGTGGACCTCACTGTTTCCATAATCTGACAAGGAAATCCAGTTCCCTGACACACATTATTCACACAGGGGGTTTTATACACTCTGTAATCCTCACAACCACCTTTTAAGTAAGCTCTCTAATTAGCTCCATGTCACTTGATATGGGAAGTTTTGAAGAACCTTTGTTTAACCTTTATTTGCCCAGGCCCCAGGGGCCCTGGGGAGAATGCTGGGGCTGTCTAGGATAAGTAAACAAGGGTGCATTAGCTAGGGCTGAGATTAGCACCTCTGCTGAACAGTGAATGGACAACAAGTTCACAGTTATTAACAACCACACCTAAAACGAAAGCAAACTAAAAGGACAGCTAGATCAGGAGTGGAAACATAGAAATGAAGATCTCAAGGAGGGTTAGCAACAGGGGAGTGGGAGGAGGAGATGGGGGGAGAAGGTACAGAAAATAAGTAGCATAGACAGTAGATAGAAAATAGATGGGGGGGGGGGCAAGAATAGCATGGGAAATATAGAACCTAAAGGACTTGAGACACATGGACATAAACTAAAGGGGGGTAATGGTGGGGATGGGGGGGCAGGGTGGAGGGGAATGAAGGGGGGAATAGAACAACTGAAACAGCATAATCAATTTTAAATAAATAAATAAATAAATAAATTTAAAAAAAAAACTAACCTTGGAATTTAGCCTTTGTACTTTACTTTCACCTTGTAGCTAGGACTAACTACCCCATTCCTGCTTCTGTACCTTGCTTTACTACGCCGAAGGCTATATAAACCTCAAGAATCCTTTGTTTGGGGCTCAGAATTTGGAGATTGACTGCTCTGAGCCCGTGCACGTTAATAATAAACCTCGTACTCCAGAAACCCTCGGTGTCTGGTTGCTTCATTTTCCTGCAACAACTGACAGATAAACTGACTTTTAGAGATGCTGGGTGGCCTGCCCAAGTTCCCACAGCTGAGTGTGGTGTGGCTGTGACTCTAACCCACAGGGTGTGCATCCAGGGTCCGCTACCCTCACAGCTGTACAGCCCTTACAGCTGTGCAGCCCCTACAGCCTAAGGACTCAAAGCAGGTGTCAGCCACACCTTCTGAACCAACTCTGAACTTGCAATTCAGACACACAATAGTGTCTAGCCTCCTAGACTCACATCTGAGGTAGGATTAAGCCCCAATTTCAAAGCATGAAAAGTCACTCACCAAGTTCCACCAGGACCCACACCAGGAACTAAACCGACTTCACTCCTCCCACTGGAGCCAAAAAAGGAAGTGCCCTCATTGGCTTTCCATTGCCCCTCCCCAGAAGTCCACTTGGAATCACCCAGGGATCTCTGGGAAATGTAGTTGTGGGGCCTAAGGTCATCCTTGTGCACCTCCTCTTCAAATCTGCTCAGCAGAGAAGAAGGGCACTATGTTATCTGAGGAGCCCCTGTCACAGCCTGAGAGGGGTATGACCTCATATATGAGTATTTGACACAGTCCTCACCTTAGGGACCCTGAAGCCAGACACCCCATTTGTAATGTTAGGCCTGGAATTAGATAAAAGTAGCCAAGAGGAACAAGGAATCCGAGGCAGGCTCTGAACTCAGCAAGGAAGATAGAAAATACAGAAAGTAAAGAGTGCTGTACAAGATAACCGCCTGTGCATGACCTTGTCTTTGCAGAAGAGTATCCACTGCTGCAAGCAGAAAGCATAGCCATGTGTGTTCCCTCGAGATACCCAATCGCTAACGGCTACGTTTGCTTCTGTATTTGCTTGCTTGCTCACCCCAATAAAAACCCTAGGCTGTAAGTGCCAGGCGCGACTCTCATTTGCAGCCTCCGGGCACCATGTCTCTGGACACCTCCAGAGTTTGCCCCTGCGCAGGTAAAGCTTTGATCAATAAAGTTCCATCTTAAACTCCTGAAAGTTTCCAACCATTTGTTGCTCATGTTGGTGGATACTACAGTAACATGGAAGTGAGAAATTTGAGGAGTCCAGGAAAAGCAGATCCCTAAACTAAAGGAGGCAGAGATGGATGTTTTAAGTTTCGCTTCCCAGATTGTAACATTCCTTCTTCAGTTGTTGTGAGGCCCCTTGGTCTCTACTGTTTTCCTTTTCTGCCAGATCATGGGTACCACTCACCTCCCACCCACCAGGGGTCCTGGGAGACGTCATTGAATGGACTCTGCGTATATGGAATAAATGTGACGTGTTCTAGAGGAATGGGTTTGTCTTTTTCTGTTTGTCTTTTTAATTCACATTAATGATACTGCTCTATAACTCCTGCTGCTGCTTATGCATTTCCCTCTGCACCATATTTTTTAAAACTCTCTTCATTACCCACTTGGACTCTCCCTTTGGCACTAGCTGTTCTTGCCCATCGTTCTGGCATGCTGCTGCATGAATTTGGGAAAGCTTTCTCTGGGCCTTTTCACAGGCAGGGTACACCCTGGGACCCAAAATCAGCTTAGCATGATGGGAGTTGAAAGATAAATACCTACACGTTCTACCTGCTCGGGTGGAACTGCTCTGAGGCATGAACCACATTAACACTGCCTCCTGATGTCTCCAGTGGGATTTAGCTCCCAGTGTCCACTGAGGTCACCTGTACCAAGAACCCTTCACTCACTCTCAAACCATCCTGGCCTCTGCCTGTCTCACTCCTGTACTGGGATATCTTAAATCAACTCCCAAATAAGCTATTTAAACAAAGGCAACCCCTCATCACCAGGTCTGGTTTTAGAGGAAACCAAACTGGGGCCATTTAACTTAGCAGAACCACTGGTGAAGGAACCTCAGGTACAATCAATCAGCTTCTGGTCACTACAGACACCAGTGTGATGAGTAATTTCCTATAGGTGCCTTGTCAATGGACACCAGAGCTTTACAAGGATACACACCACAGATGGGACATACTGGGCAACAGGACATCGGTGTGCTTGATTTCACTGAGCCTGACTGTCATCTTGTGCATTCCTGTTTTCCTCATATCCTGGTTGACACTTTCTGTTAGCAACCTTCAATGCCCATTCGTCTCATGTGTCCAAGGTGATAGTTCAGTGTTGTTTCAATTGGCACTTCTCGGATGACCGGTGAGTTTGAGCAGCTCTTTGCATTCCCACTGACCCTCTCAGCTTCTTCTTTGTGAAGAAAATGGCAAGGTGTTGAGGAAGCACTCTGCTGCCGTGGTCACCAGGACACAGCAGAGATAGAGCTAGGACTGCAGAGCAGATCTTGCTAGAAAAACATTGCAGGGAGAAAATATAATCCCAGAATGCAGCTTCGGGGCTGGACCATTTTGGAACAAAGCACGGGAATGGGATTGTTCAGTGAATGTGGGTATTGTCCTATTGATTGGTAGAAAATTACTACTTGGCAAGAAAATCCAAGATAAATGCATGATTTTGAAAATTCTACTATCATTTTAGCTAAAGGAACAAAGGTCCACAAGAACCTCCACCAGAAACTGTCAGAGGAACCTCAGATCCTGAGTCTTGAGGTTAAAGCAGAGTCAGACCTGAGTCACAGGTCCTGGCCACTGACGGCTGTGAAAGCTGAGATCATATGGCTGGGACTTTCGTGGGCTTCAGGACCACCATCTCCAACAGAATGGCTCTTCCATCGTTCAGGCTAAAAGCTGACTACTTCCTGTGGAAGGACAGCAGAACTGGGAAACACTTGAACTGCCACTGAGCCCTGTCCTCACCACAGAAGGGACAGAGAGAGAGAAGTAAACTAGCAGGGGTAATAATGATAACGTGAAGGGAAGTTCTCTCAGTTCCAATATGAGGAAGTTGTAAACTTCACGGGCATACTCCTTTAATAAAATAATAATCAGGTGGAAGGCCAAGATGGAGGCATAGGTCGACACACTGTACCTCCTTGCACAACCAAGTTTTTGAACAACAAATATTTAAATACCAAAACAGAGAAAAAATTGAACTGTACCAGTGTTCGAGAGCAACAAACCATTCAGCCAGAATGGTAAAAGGGGCGGAAACAGCAGCTGGCAGAGACGGGTAGCGCGAGAAAATGTGGCCAGAGCAGCCCAGGCATGCAGGCAGCAGTTGGCAGATCCCAGGTGTGCGGTGGCAATGGGTGAACCCAGTGAGGGCGCAAGGCAGCTGGCTGACCCTGGTCACACATTCACACACAGATAAACTAGGCAGAGGAGTGAGCAGTGAAACAGACTGAGCAATCCAGGGCCCCAGCGCTGGGAATTAAAGCCTAAAAGCACCAATTGGAAAAAACTTTCGGGCAGTGGAGGTGCTGGGAGAGGCTCCCAGGCTCACAGAGAATTTGTTGGAGAGACCCACAGGGTCCTGGAGGGTACACAGACCCACACACCTGGGAAACAGCACCAGAAGGGCCCGATTTGCTTGTGGGAAACAGCACAGGAGACTGAAATCTGAGAGAGAGCAGAAAAAAATGCCATTGCCCCTCTCTGACCCCACCCCCACATACAGTGTCACAACCCAGCAACTTGGGTAGCCCTGCCCTGGTGAACAGATAAGGCTCTGCCCCTCATATGTAACAAGCACAAACAGACCGAAACATTATGGCTCAAAAAGAAGAACAGCTCAAAGACCCAGAGCCAATACTTCTAAGTGACCAAGAGATAGCCAACCTATCAGATGCATAGTTGAAAACACTAGTGATCAGGATTCTCACAGAACCGGTTGATTTTAGTCGCAAATTAAATGAAAAAATGAAGGCTTTGCTAAGTGGAATGAAGCAAAATGCACAGGGAACCCATAGTGATGGGAAGGAAACTGGGACTCAAATCAAAGGAGTGGACCAGAAGGAAGAAAGAAACAACCAAACAGAAAAGAATGAAGAAACAAAAATTCAAAAGATTGAAGAGAGACTTAGGAACCTCCAGGATATCTTTAAATGTTCCAACATTCGAATTATAGGGGTTACAGAAGGGGAAGAGGAACAGCAACAAGTGGAAAACTTATTTGAACAAATATTAAAGCAGAACTTCCCCAATCTGGCAAAGGCAATAGACTTCCAGAAAGCTCAGAGAGTCCCAAAGAAGTTGGACCCAAGGAAGAACACACCAAGGCACATCATAATTATATTAGCCAAGATTAAAATGAAGAAGAAAATCCTAGAAGCAGCAAGAGATAAGGGGACAGTCACCTACAAAGGACTTCCCATCAGACTGTCAGCTGACTCCTCAAAAGAGACCTTACAAGCAAGAAGAGGCTGGAAAGAACTATTCCAAGTCATGAAATCCAAAGACCTACATCCAGGACTGATCTATCCAGCAAAGCTTTCATTTAGAATGGAAGGTCAGATAAAGTGCTTCTCAGATAAGATCAAATTCAAGAAGTTCATCATTACCAAGCCCTTATTATATGAAATATTAAAGGGACTTAACTAAGAAAAAGAAGATAAAAAAGATGAACAGTGAAAGGACAGCAAACTCACAGTTATTAACAACCACACCTAAAACAAAAGCAAACTAAGATGACAGTTAGATCACGAGCGGAACCATAGAAATGGAGATCACATGGAGAGTTAGGAACAGGGGAGGGGGAGAAGGTACAGAAAATAAGTAGCATAGACAGTAGGTAGAAAATAGATAGGGGGAAGACAAGAATAGTATGGGAAATATAGAATCTAAAGAACTTGAGACACGTGGTCATAAACTAAAGGGGGGGAATGTAGGGGGAGAGGGTGTGCAGGGTGGAGGGGAATGAAGAGTGGAAATAGAACAACTGTAATGGCATAATCAATAAAATATATTTTAAAAGAAGAATCATGTAGAAAAGCATTAGCTGTGTCACTCTCCGGGTGCTTAACCACACGCTACTGTCTGCTGGGTGAAGCCTCGTCTGGTGAACTACTGGGGAGCAATGTCATGTCTCATTCCCTCTGTACAATTCTAACCCTGCATTGTACATGCGGGCTTTTTGTAAAAACTGGTATTGGATGTTGGACACATGCTGGTTGAATTTAATAAAAACTATTTTCTCAGTTGTCCATTTCCTGAGCCATGGGTAAACATTTTTTATGAATTCAACATTCAACCAGTATGGAGTTATTCTAGCAAAAATGGCAATTTTCTTGCAAGAAAACCATAGGCCATCCTTCAAATACCTTTACTATTATTAATTTTGAAAAGATGTGTGGTTCTGTGTTCTTTGAAATGTTGTCTAACTACAAATCACAGAACACCTCTTAAATACAGCAGCGGATTTCAGACTTCATACATTGATCACCAGTAAATTTGTCTCTGAAACTGACCTACAAGTCGTGGAAAGAGTCATTCTCAGAGGAAAAAAGTGATCTAAATACACAGGCTGCTTTTTTAAAGGTTGAAATGATTTAATATGTAGAATTTGCTTTAATATCTCATAGGGTCATTGAGAAAATATGAGAGATAGGTTTACCAGTGGAAAGTTGGTACAATCGGTGATCATAGAGGTTAATTATTTTATTCTCTCTACTTTTATATATAGTTGATTTCTATAACAAGTTTCACTATATAATACAGAATACAATAATACTGAAGATCATCTCAACTGCTTACTCTAAATGGTGAAAAATTTATCACCATGTTTGGGCACAAGATTTCCCTCCAAGGAAATATTAAATATATTTTTCAGCTCTTCTCCTATTTCTTCTTCATTCAGTGTCTTAAACTCCACCAAATCCACATTGTCCTTATAATTGAATTTTCTAGAGGTAAGGGTGAAGCCCACTAAACAGTGAACCCCCTCTGGGGTCTGCAAGGAACAAAACGACTTGCTTGTAAACACAGACGCTGGAGACGTCTGAAGGTATTCATTCACAGACTCAAAATCTTCAATTGTTCGAGGCTCGAGAGTAAAGGAGTAGAGCTTTCGGTACTTCTTCTTTTCCAGGAGATCAGAATTAAGAAATTCTTGATTTGGAATGTACTGCTCTCTTCTGATTTGGTCCAGGAACCAGGTTCCTCTCTCTTCGGTCAAGAGGAAGATGCAAGGCACCTGAGGCTGATCCTTCCCGGAAATTAGCTCCAGAGGTTGCCATATCTGGTAAGAGCGTCCAAACCCAGCATCAACTATGTAGTGTCTGCCATCCACAGTGACCTTCAGCAGAAGGTGAATCATAGCACTGCTATACTTGTTGTCTGGAGGGTTGTACACATAGCCTCCCAGCATCGTGGTCTGAAACCCATGGTGGTCAGAGCCCAGTACAGAAGGTGATTGACCTGGAGGCACCACCCACCCCGCTTCCTCCTCACCACTTGATCAAAAGTGGCCTCCAAGCCCAGTTCCATGGGCTTCCCACAATGGATGTTAAGGTTCTCGAAGGGAATGGCCCAGATCTGGTGCTGAAGAATGTCAGTTAATGTTTCCAGGTCCAATTTGCTCCTGGACTTCTTATAACCAATTCTTTGAAAATATGCTTCAATGTCCATGATCACCTAAGGCAAGGAAAATAAAGCAAGAGCACATCCTGTTACCTTTGCACTTGGATTTCTAATTATAATTAATGAATTTTAAATATCTAAATACAAGCAGGGGTGATGAATATCTGCAACGTAAGTCTTTTGATTACTACTTTCATTGTATTAATTGCTTTCACAAGCTTAAGTTCACTTACTAGTCTCAGTAACCCTTTACAGAAAGTATTATCACTGGTTCCCTGTATTAAACATTAGAAGCTGTAAATCCAGATTAAATGATGAGCAAAGTGATAAATAGTATATATGTGGTTTTGTTAGTAATAAATTTTAAAAAGTTCAGATTGGTGTCAGTTAAAATAGTGTTTACACCCTGGCTGGTGTGGCTCAGTGGAATGAGCACCCACATACAAACTAAAGGGTCACTGGTTCAATTCCCAGTCAGGGCACATGTCTGGGTAGCAGGCCAAGTCCTCCATAGGGGGCGCTCAAGAGGAAACCACACATTGATGCTTCTCTTCCTCTCTTTCTTCCTGCCTTGGCCTCTCTAAAAATAAACGAATAAATCAACTAGATGACAATTGACTTATAAATCAATAAAAATACAGTTTACAAATAGTTCTAGTGTAAACAGGAGAATTATAGAGGACACTGTATTCTGGGTACTTGACCCACTCAATTTTACCTTTAACTGACCCCACTCAAAGTCCCCACTTAAAGATTTATATTTATCCCCTCATTGATTTATTGAATCACTCAATAAAAAGTTTATGAAAATCTATTATGTATTTTCTAGTGATACTTGCTGGCTCTCAGCAATCTTGCATTTCAGTATGGGTGGGGATGGCACAGATAGTCAACTGAATAAATAAATAAAACATGCTATTTCTCAGAATGTGATGAGTGCTCTGGGAAAACTACAGCAAACAAAGAAGATGTGCACACAGTGAAATTTAATTTCAAATACAGCAGTCAAAGCAACCCTCACTATGACCTGTAGGCTGTGATAGTTAGTTACGGTCCCACATGCAGGAAAGACCACATAGGCAGAAACAATAGGAAGTTTTAAAAAGCCTTAACGTGGAACCTGGGTGATCAGAGCACAGTGAGGGGGATGCAGTGTGGACCGAGATAAAATCAGACAGGTAAGGGCGGCCTTAAAAGCAATTCTGTTGTCTCTTGCTCCGGGACGAGAAGTCACTGTGAAAATGCTGCAGTTTGGGCAAAGTGCACCATAGTCAGACTGGCTGACCATGTGCAAGTGGCACAGGGATCTGGATCTGTGTCTCAGGGCCTGATTCTGGGAACCTGACTCCAGTGAGACCTACCGGTGGTCCTCTGAGATCTGTGTGAACAGATCTAAGAAGAGATACACGGAAAACTTCCAGAGGGCCTGGAATGTCGTGTGAAAGAGGCCTGCTTTTTCCTGCAGATCGTCTGACAGATCCTTGGTATGCTCTTGAATGGTCAATATTCAACTGTTGAACTGACTGCTGCAATTTGTCCTTAGCAGAATGGTACTCCAATTCAAATTGCCTTATTGGAGGAACTCTTAGAGAAGAGACTGAGATGCCAAATTCATTCCTAACTTCTGGAGGCCCTTCCCTGCAAGCCTCCCTGCAGGGAAGGAAAATTCCCCCAGGAATTCCCTCCAACTTTGCAGACAACCTGCCCCCCTCCCTTTGGGATTATTGCAGAAATTCTTGTCAGCTACTGTGGAGGGAGCAGGGATGGTTACAAACCCCCCTGCTGCCAGGACTAACCGAGCCCCTGGGACACCCTGAGTTGGGACAGAGGAGGTGGACCTCACTGTTTCCATAATCTGACAAGGAAATCCAGTTCCCTGACACACATTATTCACACAGCTGGTTTTATACACTCTGTAATCCTCACAACCACCTTTTAAGTAAGCTCTCTAATTAGCTCCATGTCACTGACAGATAAACTGACTTGTAGAGCTGCTGGGTGGCCTGCCCAAGTCCCCACAGCTGAGTGTGATGTGGCTGTGACTCTAACCCACAGGGTGTGCATCCAGGGTCCGCTACCCTCACAGCTGTACAGCCCTTACAGCTGTGCAGCCCCTACAGCCTAAGGACTCAAAGCAGGTGTCAGCCACACCTTCTGAACCAACTCTGAACTTGCAATTCAGACACACAATAGTGTCTAGCCTCCTAGACTCACATCTGAGGTAGGATTAAGCCCCAATTTCAAAGCATGAAAAGACACTCACCAAGTTCCACCAGGATCCACCCCAGGAACTAAACCGACTTCACTCCTCCCACTGGAGCCAACAAAGGAAGTGCCCTCATTGGCTTTCCATTGCCCCTCCCCAGAAGTCCGCTTGGAATCACCCAGGGATCTCTGGGAAATGTAGTTGTGGGGCCTAAGGTCATCCTTGTGCACCTCCTCTTCAAATCTGCTCAGCAGAGAAGAAGGGCACTATGTTATCTGAGGAGCCCCTGTCACAGCCTGAGAGGGGTATGACCCTCATATTTGAGTATTTGACACAGTCCTCACCTTAGGGACCCTGAAGCCAGACACCCTATTTGTAACATGGAAGTGAGAAATTTGAGGAGTCCAGGAAAAGCAGATCCCTAAACTAAAGGAGGCAGAGATGGATGTTTTAAGTTTCGCTTCCCAGATTGTAACATTCCTTCTTCAGTTGTTGTGAGGCCCCTTGGTCTCTATTGTTTTCCTTTTCTGCCAGATCATGGGCACCACTCACCTCCCACCCACCAGGGGTCCTGGGAGACATCATTGAATGGACTCTGCGTATATGGAATAAATGTGACGTGTTCTAGAGGAATGGGTGGTGTTTCTGTTTGTCTTTTTAATTCACATTAATGATACTGCTCTATAACTCCTGCTGCTGCTTATGCATTTCCCTCTGCACCATATTTTTTAAAACTCTCTTCATTACCCACTTGGACTCTCCCTTTGGCACTAGCTGTTCTTGCCCATCGTTCTGGCATGCTGCTGCACGAATTTGGGAAAGCTTTCTCTGGGCCTTTTCACAGGCAGGGTGCACCCTGGGACCCAAAATCAGCTTAGCATGATGGGAGTTGAAAGATAAATACCTACACGTTCTACCTGCTCAGGTGGAACTGCTTTGAGGCATGAACCACATTGACACTGCCTCCTGATGTCTCCAGTGGGATTTAGCTCCCAGTGTCCACTGAGGTCACCTGCACCAGGAACCCTTCACTCACTCTCAAACCATCCTGGCCTCTGCCTGTCCCACTCCTGTGCTGGGATATCTTAAATCAACTCCCAAATAAGCTATTTAAACAAAGGCAACCCCTCATCACCAGGTCTGGTTTTAGAGGAAACCAAACTGGGGCCATTTAACTTAGCAGAACCACTGGTGAAGGAACCTCAGGTACAATCAATCAGCTTCTGGTCACTACAGACACCAGTGTGATGAGTACTTTCCTATAGGTGCCTTGTCAATGGACACCAGAGCTTTACAAGGATACACACCACAGATGGGACATACTGGGCAACAGGACATCGGTGTGCTTGATTTCACTGAGCCTGACTGTCATCTTGTGCATTCCTGTTTTCCTCATATCCTGGTTGACACTTTCTGTTAGCAACCTTCAATGCCCATTCGTCTCATGTGTCCAAGGTGATAGTTCAGTGTTGTTTCAATTGGCACTTCTCGGATGACCGGTGAGTTTGAGCAGCTCTTTGCATTCCCACTGACCCTCTCAGCTTCTTCTTTGTGAAGAAAATGGCAAGGTGTTGAGGAAGCACTCTGCTGCCGTGGTCACCAGGACACAGCAGAGATAGAGCTAGGACTGCAGAGCAGATCTTGCTAGAAAAACATTGCAGGGAGAAAATATAATCCCAGAATGCAGCTCCGGGGCTGGACCATTTTGGAACAAAGCACGGGAATGGGATTGTTCAGTGAATGTGGGTATTGTCCTATTGATTGGTAGAAATTTAGTACTTGGCAAGAAAATCCAAGATAAATGCATGATTCTGAAAATGCTACTATCATTTTAGCTAAAGGAACAAAGGTCCACAAGAACCTCCACCAGAAACTGTCAGAGGAACCTGAGATCCTGAGTCTTGAGGTTAAAGCAGAGTCAGACCTGAGTCACAGGTCCTGGCCACTGAGGGCTGTGAAAGCTGAGATCATATGGCTGGGACTTTCGTGGGCTTCAGGACCACCATCTCCAACAGAATGGCTCTTCCATCGTTCAGGCTAAAAGCTGACTACTTCCTGTGGAAGGACAGCAGAACTGGGAAACACTTGAACTGCCACTGAGCCCTGTCCTCACCACAGAAGGGACAGAGAGAGAGAAAAGTAAACTAGCAGGGGTAATAATGATAACGTGAAGGGAAGTTCTCTCAGTTCCAATATGAGGAAGTTGTAAACTTCACGGGCATACTCCTTTAATAAAATAATAATCAGGTGGAAGGCCAAGATGGAGGCATAGGTCGACACACTGTACCTCCTTGCACAACCAAGTTTTTGAACAACAAATATTTAAAGACCACAACAGAGAGAAAATTGAACTGTACCAATGTTCGAGAGCAACAAACCATTCAGCCAGAATGGTAAGAGGGGCGGAAACAGCAGCTGGCAGAGACGGGTAGCGCGAGAAAACGTGGCCAGAGCAGCCCAGGCATGCAGGCAGCAGTTGGCAGATCCCAGGTGTGGGGTGGCAACGGGTGAACCCAGTGAGGGCGCAAGGCAGCTGGCTGACCCTGGTCACACATTCACACACAGATAAACTAGGCAGAGGAGTGAGCAGTGAAACAGACTGAGCAATCCAGGGCCCCAGCGCTGGGAATTAAAGCCTAAAAGCACCAATTGGAAAAAACTTTCGGGCAGTGGAGGTGCTGGGAGAGGCTCCCAGGCTCACAGAGAATTTGTTGGAGAGACCCACAGGGTCCTGGAGGGTACACAGACCCACACACCTGGGAACCAGCACCAGAAGGGCCTGATTTGCTTGTGGGAAACAGCACAGGAGACCGAAATCTGAGAGAGAGCAGAAAAAAATGCCATTGCC